CCTCGCCTTCCCACCCTGGAAACTCTCACGTGTGGTGTAGCGGCTCCCAAAACACATGTCCACCAGGACCCATAAATGTGACCTTCTTTGGAAAAGGGTCTTTGCAGATGTAGTCAAGGTTAGGATCCCGAAATGAGGGCGGGCCCCAATCCCATGACTGTCCCTACAAGAAAAGGGGACTGAGGGGAGACCACAAGAGACACAGAAAGGTGGCCATGTGGATGTGGACGCAGAGATCGGGTGAGGCATCCACGAGCCAAGGGTGGCCACGGGCGGCCCGGAGCCACCAGCAGCCAGGAGAAAGGCCTGGGGCGCCGGCTCCCTGGGGGCCTCTGGGTGCAACCAGACCCTCCAACACTCTGCTTTTGGGTTCGGGCCCCCGAATCAATGCCAGATCTTCCATTTCTTAAGATTTTGAGCATTTCTCACATTGTCCCTTCCTCCCTGCCCCCAGTGGTCACCCATCGTCCCCTGGCGTGGCCGGCCCTCTTCACCCCAGAAAGGGCCCCCGTGTGGGCCCCGCAGGCCGGTCCAGTATCAGCTCCTTCCTGCCAAGAGCATCTTCAGGCTTGACGCTCCGTCCACGGACACCCGGCCGCCACCGGGACCCCGGAACCTCCCCCTCTAGCCACCCCGCCCCGCCCCGCCACGTTCCCGTCAAGGCTGGTTCTCGCCCGGCGAGCTCCCTGCCTTTCTGTCCGCCTGGAAAACTTCCTCTCCCGCCAGGTGTCAGCCCAAACTGCGCCTTCCTCTCGGGAACGCTTCCCCGCAGGGTTCCCGGCGCACGGGGCCGTGTGCTAGTCACCTCGTGTTTACACGGCTGTCGCCGGTCCTTCCGCTGCCGTGACCCGGGGCCCGGGGGAGGCCCCGCGTGCGGAATTTGTTGAGCGAATGCCCGCACGCCCGCACAGGCGACTCGGAAACGCCACCAGCCTCGCCTTTCTCTGCCAGTTTGGAACGGAAAAGCGAAAACCCAACTCACGGGTTCCACCCCAGGTCTGCGGGGTTGATGTACAGGATCCCGGCTCTGGAGACGGTGGCCGGGGTGGCCGTCCTCAGGTGGCTGATCTCAAACACCAGCCTCATGGTGCGGTTCAGGGGGATTCGCTCGTTGCTGGCCAGAGTGAGGACCTGGGAAGGGGGTCAGGCCTGTGGGTTTTCAGCGGCCGACGTGCCATTGTCCTGATGGTTCGTCACACCGGGGCGTCTCAGAACAAAGAGGGCCCGTGCACCTGTGCTCGTCACCAGCCAGCTTCCCTAGATGTCCCTGACACCTGTCCCACCCCCAGACAACACAGGAGGCTTCTCGAAGTGAGCACCGCGTAGGGCATCACTGTGATACCACATTTGCTTCTGGAAAGCGTG